TTTTTGATTGCCATTTGCTTGATATATCATTTTCAAATCCTTGATTTTTTTTCTATTTTTGTCTTCATGTCTCAGGTGAGTCTCTTGTAGATAGCGTATTGATGGGTCATGTTTTCTTATCCAGTTGGCAACTCTCCATCTCTTGAGTGGTGCATTGAATTCATTTACATTCAGTGTAATTATCCACAAGTATGAATTATTGCTGTCATTTTGTTATGTGTTTTTTGTGGTGTGGCTGATTTCTTTGTTTCATATAATTTTCTGTGCTGAGTTCATTTTGTTCATGAATTTTTTTTATCACGTCCTTGGTTGCTATTGTTTTTGCCTTTGCTAAATATTTGTGCCTTGCCTCCTTTTTATTTTGATGTAAAGGTTTATTATTTTTATTTGTGGTTACCCTCTAATATATAAGTTTCTCCCCAAGTTTAGAACAGTCTTTTCTATCTCACAGTTGTCTTGACTTCCTCACCATTTGGAAGTTCTGCACCCACACTATTTGTTTCCTGTTTTTGGTTTATAGTTGTCTTCATTTAGCAATTGATGTCTATGGTTCTCTGTTTATGGTCTTGTAAGCTTATTTACTTTCAATACTTCCATAACTGGGTTGGGTTCTGGGTGATATTGTTGTTGTCTGCTGTTCTTGGTTCTTTGTCCTAAGGACTATCTTTAGGAACTCTTGTAAAGTTGGTCTGATTTTTAACAAATTCCCTTACTTTCTGTTTACCTGGAAATGTCCTAATTTCACCATCATATTTGAGGGACAATTTTTCTGGTTGTTGATTGACATTTTTTTTCTTTCTGGGTTTTTTATATGTCATCCCATTGTCTTCTTGCATGCATAGTTTCTGCTGAGAAATAAGAATTTAGTCTTATTGGTTGCCTTTTGTAGGTAACTTTTTATTTTTCTCATGCTGCTTTCAGGATTCTTCATCTTTGCTTTTGGTGAGTTTGATTATGATATGTCTTGGTGATTTTCTTTTGGGTCCTATCCTGTTTGTGGTTTGTTGAACTTCTAGAATGGATATCTTCTTATCTTTCATTATATTAGGTGAATTCTTTTCTAACAAATCTTCGACAATTTTCTCTGTGGTTTTGTCTCTTCCTGTTCTGGAATTCTGATCACAGGATCATTATTTCTATTGATTTTTTCCCATATAAATCTTAGGCTTTCTTCATTTTGTCTCTATCTTTTTTATTTTTCCTGATTGATCCCTTAACAAAGTGCTTTTGAGAGATTTGTCTTCAGTCTCACTAATTCTGTCTTCCATTGATTAAATTCTAATCCTCTGCCCTTTCAATATGTCACCTGTCTCTGAAATCTTAGTATTAATCTTCTGGATTTCTATTCATTGTTTTTGTATGATTTCTAATTTTTCATTTATTTTAGCAGTTTGTTCTTGTATTGTTTTCCTAAATTGTTCTAAAGTTTTGCCTGTGTTTTCCTTGATTTTGTCAGTGTTTCCTTTCATCTGCCTTTCAAACCTTTGAAGGTACCTAAATATAATTCTTTTGAATGTTTTATCAGGTAGTTCTAATGCTGCTTCTTCCTCTGGGAGGTTTTCTGCATCTGTATCCTGGTTTCTTGTTTGTACCACTTTATCTTTTGTTTGTGTGTGTGTGGAGGGGGGATAATCAGTTGTCTCTGAGACATTGTGATGTTGTTGTATTTATATTTAAGTGGTGATTGTATGTTGGTGAAGCTCACTAAGGGTTTATACCCCCTTAAGGCAATCACCACCTGGTGGGTATAATAGAGGTTGAGAGTGTGTGTACAGATCTCTGTTAACTGTTAGTGAAGAGCAATTGAGGATGAGTTAGGCAGGTATTGGCCACCATCTATTGTTAATCATTTGGTGCAGAAGCAAGTTGTGGCCCTAACCCAATAGGTGGGGCTTCAGAAGGTGCAGTTATAATTTTGTTGTGATAGAAAAAAGAAAAAAAAAACCCAGTAAAAAAATAAAAACAAGAGAACAAATAATGCAAACTACATAAACAAACAGCAACAATCACAGAAATAAAGAAAAAGAAATAAATGAAAAGAAAAATTAAAAAAAGGAAAAAAAGACAAAGGAAGAAAAGAAAAAAAATATCTAGGGAAGAGGGAATAAAAGAAGAGAGTAAGAGGAATATAATAATAAAGAAAAATAACAAGAACAAGACCAGGGGAAAAAAAGAAAAGAAAAAGAAAGTCAAAGAGGGGGAAGAAAAGGAATAATTTAAAAACAAAAACAAAACTAGGTGGATGGGAGTGCACCTGGGCTCTGTTTCTGGTGGCTGGCTGTCAAAATGAAGTAGGGCACTTGGTCTTGGTACTAGTTACTCCCTGCCCAGAAGGGAACTGCAGGCAGGACACCTGATCTCAGAAAATTCCTGTTGACCTGAAAGATGTCTGGGGCAGAGCACCTGGACCTAGAAAAATTTCCTGCTGGTCCAAATGGTGATGGGAGCAAGGCATCTCATACCAGAAAGAATACCTGCCTGCTCAAAATGCAACTGGGGATGAGGTGTCTGGTCTAAGAAAAAGTTCCTGCTGTCCCAAAAGGCACTAGGCACAGGGCCCCTATTTCCAGGAAAAGTTCCTGTTGTCCCAAATTGAGGTTTGATGTAGGGCACCTGGACCCAGCTAAAGTTCTTGCCAGCCCAAGATGTTGCTGGGAGCAGGGTGAAAGATTTCAGAGCTACTTCTTTTCTACTCAGAAGGCAACTGGGGGCAAGGCACCTGGTTTCAGACAAGTTCCTACATGGCGTCTGGGGACAGGGCTTCTGGAGACAGTAAAAATTCCTGCCAGTCCAAAAAGTGATTGGTAGCAAGACACCAGGTTTGGAGTTCCAGCCAGCTCAAAATGCAGCTGGAAGGAGGGCATCTAGTCCCAGACAAAATTTCTGCTGTATCAAAAATTAACTGGGAGCAAGTTAAGAGAGTAGGTTAAGCAGAGAAAAGGTTCCTGCCACCCCAAAATCTGGCTGTATGTAGGATATCTGGTCTCAGAAAAAATGCCCACTGGCCCAAAAGGTGGCTGGGAACAGGGCACCTATTGCTGGGGCCAGTTCCTGCCTGCCAAGAAGGCAGCTGGTGGCAGGGTGCCCATACCAGGATGGAATTCCTGCTTCTTCAGAAGGTAGGTGAAGATAGGGCATGGCCATATCTTGTTTAACCAAGATAGTGTGTAGGTACAAGTGTAACAAGGGGAATATCACACCTTTCTTGTTGTCAGCCTCCAGAGCAGTTGCTCATGCTGTCCCCAGCAAGTGGAGCCTATTCTTAGGTTGCTGCCCAGAACAGAAAGCCACTTGTAAATATTTGAATATGCCATGCTGTCAGGACAGCCAATAGTCCACATCTCTGTTTGTCTCCTTATTTGCTGGCCTGCTTGGTGACAGCATGTGCCTGGGGCTGTGGAAGGGGCAGATGTAGGGGGTATGGGCATGGACAGCAACCTCCCACCAAGGGTTTTGACCCCTTACCTTACCTGTTGCCCAACCACCAGAGCTTCCAACTGTGCCTGTAGTCCAGGACCAGGTCCCAGACCCACTCAAATGCTAGGCCCAATGGCAGAGCCTTGGAGTACCCAACACAGCAGTACTAGGGGCACAATTTTGGGCATCTGGGCCCTGGGCCTGGCTCCAAATCCTGCACATAATGATGTGGTCTTTGGAACTGAACCATGTTGATAAGTGAGGAGTGGGTATATATGTATACTATTGTTAGATACTATGGAGTCAATTCTGACTCATAGAATCCCCATGTAAAACAGAATGAAACACTTCCTGATCCTGCACCATCCTCGTAATAGTTGCTATGTTTGAGCCCATTGTTTCAGCCATTGTGTCAATCCATCTCATTGAGGGTCTTCCTCTTTTTTTCTGATCCTCTAACATATACAAGCATTCCCCAGCTTATGAATATCTGACCTAACTTAGACATGATGTTTACTTAACTTTTCCTATTTATGTGTAAAGTAAGCTTAAACACAAATTTAGGAATGGAACTCATTCCTAATCAGATACAGTCAGTCTATACATATTTCCCCATCACTTTTCTTACACAAAAGTTAGCATATTCTATTGTTTTGTACTTATTTTCTTTTCACTATTGAAGATCTCTTCATTGCAGTGAGTCAAGATCATCTTTATATTTCTCTCACCATCACTTGGTACTGCATCACATGAATGTGCCATAACTTAGTCAGCTGGACTTTCCTATTGATAGACATTAGGTTGCTTTCAGACTTTTTGTATTACAAATAATGCTGCAATGAATAACCTTGTATACACATTTTTAGTGTATGCAGGTGGAGCTCTGGGATAAATTCCCAGAGTAGGGTTTGTGTGGAAGTAGGACTAATGTGTCAAAGGGAAAATACATTAGTAATTTTGGTAGATTTCCCATTTTCCTTGTGGCTGCACCATTTTGCATGCCCAGCAGAAATGCAGGAAGTCTTCCCACAGCCTCCCCAGAGGAGGTTGTCAGTCTTAGTTTTTTAAAAAATTAATAAATGAAAAAAAAAATTAATAAATGAATGAATTTTACCAATGTAACAGGTAAATCAAAAACCAAAAACCAAACTCAGTGCCGTCAAGTCAGATCCAACTCATAGGGACTCCTCCTTGGGTTTCCGAGGTGGTATCACTCCTTCAGAGGAGTGGCTGGTGGATGTAAACTGCCAGCCTTATGGCTATCTACTTCCCTAATGATTTGCCACTTTGGAAATACAATGAGGGTTGCTATGAGTCTGAATCAACTCAATGGCAGTGATTTTGGTTTTTGGAGTTTGAGTTGATAGGTAAATATGAATGTTTCAGTGAGCTGCACTTTGGTTACTAGTCCTTTCTGAGCTGGAGTGGATCAGGTGTAAGTGGAGCCTCAGGTTATAGGACTGTATATCTGTGCATTCATGTCTCTCTCCTGGCTTACACTCCCTGCCCTCCACCTGCTGCTTCCCCACAAACCCCCAGGAAGCAGCTCAGGGGATGGCCAAAAGGGTTTATTGTCAGGGCCTTCACACAGACCTGTAGGTTCCATTGTAGCTAAAAGAGGGAGACATCCAGCAACCACCTGACTCCTCTGGAACCCAGCGCTGGACATGATTGAGACCTCTGTCCTGGGACCACACAATCACAGTGTCTTTTGACGCCAAGGAGGGATCCTCTGGAAAGAAGTTGAAAGGCCGCAACAGGAATCCCACAGAGTTTCCAGGTGTAGCTGTGTTGGGGATGTCCTCTGAGTGTGGGATGTGGAGGAAACCTACTGTCACCCAGGCCACTAGGTCCTGTGAGAGGAAGAGAGTGAAGATGGGGCACTTCAGAGAGGAGATGCTAGTGGGCTTTGATGAAAGCTTGGATGTAGGCAACACTGAGCTCTGACCACTAGAGGCTGCTTGGGCCCTTTGGCATTTTTTATCATGACTAGAACGTTTCTGCATCCTCTCAAGCCCCATTTTAGAGGTGGGAAGCTCTGTAATGATCTCCCAACTTGCTCAACCCACCTCATCCTGGGGTGAAGGCAGGTCCAGGCAGAGGGTGGTTAGGATTTCTCATTGATGAGGGTAAGAGTGTCTTGGGGCTGGGACTGTAAGGAGGTGGATGAGAGTTAGACAAGACTGGGAACCGGGACAGTACCTCATTTTCAATGTTCTCATTGTTTTGAAGAAATTCCTCAAAGACCACAGGTGGGTCCCAGGGATCATTCTGGTTGTAGATGCTACTGCTGCACAGCTCTGACTCCCGGTACTTAGTCACTGCCAGGGGGTACCTGCCAGAATGGAAGACCAGCCAGGTGGCTCTGAGTCTGGGGGGGGGGGCGCTTCTTAACATCTCCCAGGGGACATCTTCAGGGTCAGTGATGGGGGAAAGTTACTGCCATTCCAAAATGAGGGATCAAGTGAGTCTGCCACTGTCATCAGAGGCTCAGGGTGCTCAGCACGGAATTCACAGGCACACACACACATACACACAGACACACACATAGAAACACGAACATGACCACATACACAAACCTGAGGCACTGGCACACACCCACAGACACACAAACACCCATACATAGACACATCATATTCTTCTTGAGAAGAGTCTCTGCCTTCCCCTCTTCCCTCCAGCTCACCTTGCCCAGGTGATAGCCCGCTCCTCCTGCAAGCCAGGGGGCAGCACTTGGTCAGCCATGGAATGAATCTGCACACGGTAGCTGCGCTTGTGGCCCCAAGGGTTCTCCTTGGGGCTGGTGAAGAGCAGGTACTTGGGCAGGGCCTGATGGAAACAAAAGGCAGCCTGGCGCTCACGGTGGAGCTGCGTCTGCTCCAGAGTGGGCTGCACCAGGTGGTATCCAGGGCTCCAGGGATTAGTGATATTTTCTAGCTTCATCTTCATTGTCTGGAAACTATTTTTGGTGCCTGGAGTATACAGAAAAAAAGAGAATGAAGATCAAGCTTCTGACCCGAAATGTTCTCAGTCTGCACTGAGATCTCTATCCTGAACAAAATCCGAAGGCTTTAGGGATTTAGAAAATACTTTTGAGACATGCACAGAGCAAGTTATGTGGGCGGAAGGGGCTAAAATCCTAGAGGAACTGGAAGGTCATATGTTGTCGGGCAGCTGCAGCAATTCTGCTTTGACTCTGGGTACCTTCTCTGAGGAGTTACCCCTGAGTCTGATGGTTATGGCTATAGTTCTTGAGATAGAGCAGCTCCTAGGACCAGGGGATGCGGTCCAGTGCCTCATTTGGCCCAAAGGGGAGAATGGGTCGTTTTGTTATGTCATTATGCCATGCTACACTCTCTACAGGGATATCCTTAATCTAAAACACATGATGAGGGTTTCCAACCAGAGCACTGGTCAGCTGTTCCTTATATCCCTGGGCATTAACCATACTCTGAGTACACATTTCTATTTAATCCTTCTCATTATAGGGCCAGCTGGGGCAGTTGTGATTCAGTGATAGGGTTCTTGCCATCCTTGTGGGAGATTCAAGTTTAATCCCTGACCAATGCACCTCAACATAGCCACCACTTGTTTGTCATGGAAGTTTGCATATTGCTGTGTTGTTGAACACATTTTTGGAAGCTTACAATGGACAGGAAGAAAGGCCTGGTGATATACTTCTGAAAATCAGCCAATGAAAACCCTGTGGATCACAACAGATAGATATGCATCTAATTATGGAGATGACTTAGGACCAGGTAGTGTTTTGTTCCACTGTCTATGGGGTTGACATGAATCAGGGCTGACTCAATGGTAGCTAACAACAACATATATAGGGTCAGCAGCCTCAGGGGAGGACATGGTTCATACTTTCACATATGGGGTAAAAGTTGGCACTATTAGCTGTCAACATGTTTCAGAACCCAACAACTACTAGCACTGCAAATTTCACAGATAAGATGGGCAAATGGTCATGGTTTTATGCCCCAGGAAAATTTGGGCACCATTTCCTGTGAAGGCTACCTGATCCCATTCTATTACCAGGGTCCTACCTGCAACATCCAGGTCGATGCGGTAATGTACCAGGTGGGTGTGCATGTTGCCAATCAGGTGAGTGTGCAGGCGTGTGCCATAATGCAACCCCTCGGGCGTGTAGAAGGTGGCATGTACATAGCCAGTGGCATGCATCTTGGCTTCCATTATTCCATTGGGGTAGAAGATGAAGTCCCAAATGTAATCATAATTGTAGACGGTGGAAATGCTTCGCAGCACCAGTACTTGGCCCTTCAGCCCTGCATAGAAGTTGAATCCTCCATTGAAGTTGGAATTAAAGTGCCTCCGAAGGGGCACCCCTATGGGCATCTCAAAGAGACAGAGGGCTTGGGGGTAGTGCACAGGGCCATCGGCATCATAATAGTGGAGGGCATCCAGGAAGGTGGCAGTGTCTGGGCAGTCGATGCCAGAAGCTAGCTCATGTGTGACGCTGCCCAGTCCCCAGCCCACATCCATGTACTTGGTTTGCATGCCAGCTGGCGTGTGTCCTCCATACAGGGCCACTGCCTCCTGCACGCTCACCTCGTAGGCGACACGCTCTCCTCCGAAGCGCAGGTCCAGGACCTGCAGTCCTGAGGAGGACCGCAGCCGGAAGGCGAAGCTCCAGCCTCCATAGAGCACAGCATTGCCTTCTAGCTGGTAGCGGAGGCCTTGGGGCTGGACCAGGCGGGGTCCATTCACTGTTATAGGTGTGGGGAAGGCCCCTCGGGGCTTGTAGGAGGAGAAGAGTGGGGCCTCCTCACTGCCTGGGGGTGGTAGGTCCTCCAAAACCACCACATCTACCTCTCCATCACCATACTTGCGGGCCAGTTCTTTTGGACTACTGTAGAACTTCCCATTGTACCAGACCTGCTCCACCACCCAGTCGTGGACATCTGTGCTGCTGTGGTCCACAAGGAGCTCCAGGCCAGTGGGATGCAAGAAATAGCCTTCCACATATCGCTGCAGGATAAGCCAGGTTCTGCGCTGGCCAGAAGCCAGGCCCCGGGGAGCCACGTCGGTAAAGGTCAGGCATCTGTCTCGGCAATCTTGGATGGAGAAGCCAGTGGTTTTGAGAAAGAACTGGTGCAGAGGCTTGGTGGCTTCTTGCAGGATGCGGTTCAGGAGGACATACTCAGCAGTGGAGATTGGCCTGGATGCCCATGTTGGGTGATGACCAGGCCTGGGGGCCAGTACTCGCATATAGTAAGGTCGTGGCAGGGGTCCCACTGCAAACTCAGTAATGTTAGGCTTCTCCTGGGCTCCGAAGAAGATGACAGCACGGGCTTCCCTAACAGGATGCTTTTCATCATTGTCCAAAAATTTCAGCACACGTTGTTTCTTGGGCAGCAGAGTCTCAATGAGGAATATGGAATTCTTGGCTATGGTTAAGGCTTTGGCGGGCTTCAGTGCCAGTTGCCTCTGGGACCAAAGGAAGGTGTGCACAGCCTTCAGCTCCTCAGTGCTCAGGTCAGCAAACACCCTGGCCTTACTGCCCAGAGACCCTTGTGAAGGCTTGGCCACTGCCAGGTTCTGTAGTGCCAGGATCCCCACCATAGCCCAGCCAAACACCAGGGCCTCTTGACCCATATTCTGGAATGTGGTAGAGAGGACATAGGGTTAATTGTGCAATGGTGGGAAATGGATCTCTGCTAAGCCGGGGCTTTGAGTGCAATGTCCGTTAGCACTGTGGTTTCCTAAAGACCTACCTTCTCCCTCTTCCACTCCAAATTGGGTGCATCTGCAATGGTGCTAGGCTATTCTTACCTACAATCCTGTGTCATGCCTGTCATCTCTTTGCTGTCTTAGAAACCAATTCTATAGGGCCCTGTGGATTTTCTTACCAAGGTAAACTCCTTCATGCCCCCTTCTCTGCACATTTTCTTATCCCAGCAGAACCTTGTACACTTCTCTATACCTTAGCACACTACAGTTAGTAGTGTAAGGGGTCAGAGGGATCTTGAAGCTCTGCCTCAACCACAGGCTGTAAATGTATATTCTGTTGGACAGAGGTAGAGAATGGATAAATTGCAAAACTACACTTTTGATGAAACAAATTATGTTTTATGAACACTTTGAAGTTCAGCCCAGATGTTACAAGTGTAGATTCAGGATTAGGTTGCCTGAGTTTAAACTCGAGCAAGTCACACTGTGTGTTAGCTAGGTAACTTTGAGTGGATGACCTCGAGTAAATTAGTTAAACTCTCTGGGGTTCAACATTTTCTCAACTACACAATTGAAATAATGACAATAGTGCCTACTTTCTAGGGTTGTTGAGAAAATTAAATTAGATAATAAATGTAAGTATTCAGGACAATACATGCTTAAGCAATCAAGAAATGTCAGCTACTCCTATTCTTTTTAAATAAGTCATGAGGATACAACCCATCGATCCCAGCACATTTAAAGTTTATTTATTTACTTATTTGCCTTCCCCGTCACTCAAGTTGGGAGTACTGGTGGTGTAGTGCCTAAGATATTTGCCTGCTAACCAGAGGGTTGGAGGGTCAAACACATCAGTCATTCCTCAGGAGGAAAATTGGGCAATCTACTTCCCTAGAGATACCGCCTCGGAAACCCAAGGAGGGGTCATTATGAGTAGAATTGACTTGACAGCAATAAGTTTGGTTTTTTTTTTGTTTCACCCAAGTTAGTATGTGTCTACCTTCTAGTTAGTGGTTTACTCTCCCTTCCCTACACACCCCTCACAACCATCAAAGAATATTACTTTTTTTGTGAAACTTTTTCTTAACTTTTTATAGTAGTGGTCTCATACAATATTGGTCCTTTTGTGTTTGCCTAATTTCACTTAGGAGCTCTGGTAGCATAGTGCCTAAGGCACTTGACTGCTAACCAGGAGGCTGGCGGTTCAAACCCACCAGCCACTCCTCGGAAGGAAGGTTGGGCAATCCTACTTCCATAGTGATAACTGCCTTGGAAACCCAAGGAGGGGTCGCTAGGAGTCGGGGCCGACTTGATGGCAAATAACAACAATAACAATTTCACTCAGCAAAATGGCCTCTAAATTCATCCATCTTTAGAGATGTTTAGAAATTTTTCATTGTTCTTTAACATTAGATAATGTTCCATTGTGTGTAAGTACCATAGTTTGTTTATCTATTCATCTGATGGGCATTTAGGTTATCTGAATCTCTTTGCTATTGTGAATAATGCTGCGATGAAGATGGGTGTACATGTATCTGTTCATGTCATGGCTCTTATATCTCTAGGATACATACCTAGTAGTGGGATTGCTGGATCATACAGCATTTATATTTCCAGCTTTTAAAGTAGTGCCATACCATTTTTCACAGTGGTTGCACCATTTTACAGTCTTATCAGCTGTGTATAAGAGTTCCAATTTGTCCATACCTTCACCAGCATTTATAATTTTCTGAACTTTAATTGTGCTTTAATTGCAATGATATCCCATTGTTGTTTTGATTTGCATCTTTCTATGGTCAAAGCTGCACTGAAGGAATTAGTGAAAAACAAGGCTCCTGGAATTGATGGAATATCCCTTGAGATGTTTCTACAAATGGATGTCACACCGGAGGCACTCACTCAGCTATGCAAAGAGATTTGGAAGACAGCTACCTGGCAAACTGACTGGAAAAGATCCATATTTGTACCCATTCCAAAGAAAGGTGATCCCACAAAATGTGGAAATTATCAAACAATATCATTAATATCACACACAAATAAAATCTTACTGAAGATAATTCAAAAATGGTTGCAGCAGTATATTGACAGAAAACTTCCAGAAATGCAAGCTGGATTAAGAAGAGGATGTGAAACAAGGGATGTCAGATGAATCTTGGCTGAAAGTAAAGAATACCAGAGAGATGTTTACTTGTGTTTTATTGACTATGCAAAAGCATTCAATTGTGTGGATCATAACAAATTATGGATAATATTGAGAAGCATGGGAATTCCAGAACACTTAATTGTACTCATGAGGAACCTGTACATAGACCAGGAGGCTGTCGTTTGAACAGAGCAAGGGAATACTGCATGGTTTAAAATTGGGAAGGGAGTGCACCAGGGTTGTATCCTTTCACTATACTTTTTCAATCTGTATGGTGAGCAAATAATCCAGGAAACTGGACTATATGAAGAAGAGCATGGGATCAGGATTGGAGGAAGACTCGTTAACAACCTGCAACACGCAGATTATACAACTTTGCTTACTGAAAATGAGGGTGACTTGAAGCACTTACTGATGAAGTTTGAAGACTACAGTCTGCAGTATGGATTACACTTCAAAATAAAGAATCAAAAAATCCTCACAACTGCACCAATTAGCAGCATCATGATAAATGGAGAAAAGATTGATGCTCTCAAAGACTTCATATTACTTGGTTCTGTAATCAACACCAACAGAAGCAGCAGTCAAGACATCAGATGACATATCACATTGGACAAATCTGCTGCAAAAGCCCTCTTTTAAGTGCTGAAGAGCAAAAACTAAGGGGTGCTCAACTCAAGCCATGATATTTTCAATCGCCTCATATGCATGTGAGAGCTGGACAATGAATAAGGTAGACCAAAGAAGAGTTGATGCTTTTGAGTTGTGGTGCTGGCGAAGAATGCTGAAAGTACCACGGACTACTAAAAGAACTAACAAGTCTGTCCTGGAGGAAGTAAGTGCAGCTGGAATGCTCCTTGGAAGCAAGAATGTCCTGACTTCATCTTACCTACTTTGGTCATGTTGTCAGAAGGAACCATTCCCTGGAGAAGGATGTCATGTTTGGTAAGGTGGAGGGTCGACAAAAGAGGGGAAAGCCCTCAACAAGTTGGATTGGCACAATGGTGGCTGCAATGGGCTCAAGTATAGCAAGGATCGTGGAGCTGGTGTGGGACCAGGCAGTGTTTCGTTCTGCTGTGCATAGGGTTGCTATGAGTTGGAGATGACTTAATGGCACCTAACAACAACGGTTAATGATCACGAGAATTTCTTCATATGTTTGTTAGCTAACTGAATGTCTTCTTTGGAGAAATGTCTGTTTATATCCTCTACCCATTTTTTAATTGATTTTTTTTTGTTGTTACATTTGTTTTTAAGTTGTTGAAATGTCTATAAATCTTAGAGATTAGCCCCCTATCTGAAATGCTGCCACCCGCTCCCCCAGTCTCTGGGTTCTCTTTTCACTCTTTTAGTGAAATTTTTGTCGCATATAAGTGTATAATATTTAGGAGGTCAAACCCACCACCCACTCCTCAGAAGGGAGGTTGGGCAATCTACTTTCATAGTGATACTGCCTCAGAAACCCAAGGAGGGGTCTCTATGAGTCAGGTCTGACTTGACAGCACATAACAACAACAACAACAACAATCATTTATTTTCTCTTCTGGTACCTATGTGTTTTTAGTTATATTCAATAGTGTGTTTATGCCATATGTGCCAGTTAAGGTTGTGTGCCAATTTGGTTGGGCTGTGGTTTTGAGTGTCTGGGCAGCAGGATACAGTGATTCCTCATAATATTGTAATCACCTCCAGGGTGAAATCTGCTGTGAGCAGTTAAGTAGTTGCCTTTGGAGTCTGGCCTGCTTCCAGTATATAAGGAGCTTTGAGAAAGGTCTCTAGATTTTTGGCATATCTGGATCCTGTATTTGGCCAAGTTCTTCATCTCAGCAGCCAGCCACGTAGCCCACCAATCTTGGGATCGTGCTGTTTTACCTGCCAACCTGGGGTTCATCAGCCTCTGCAGCTTGCAGTTGCCTGAGTTAGGAGATGTATCTAGCTCCAGTAAGTCTGGGGTAAGAGGCAGAGCTGAAGCCCAAGGTTGAGGGACCTTCACCCAGTCCCTAAGGCCAGCATTCTGAATTTGGACTTCTAGTTTCCTAAACTGTAAGAGAATAAATTCCTGTTTGTTAAAGTCATCCACTTGTGGTATTAATATTAAAACAGCCCTAGAGAACCAAGAGCCATGTATCAGGGCCCCTAAGTTTGTCCCTATTTTTGATTTGATTGTCTTTATAGCTTTAGGGTATATGTTCAGGTCTTTAATCCAATTTGAGTTCATTTTTGTGTATAATGTGCGATATAAGTTCTGTTTCATTTTTTCTGCAAATGGATATCCAGTTTTGCTAGCACTATTTATTAAAGAGACCATTTCTTCCCTAAATGAAGATGCAAGTGGATATCCAGTTTTGCTAGCACTATTTATTAAAGAGACAGACCATTTCTTCCCTAAATGAAGAATTTTGGCCCTTTGTCAAAGATCAGTTGTCCATTGGTGGATGGATTTACTTCTGGGTTCTCAATTCTGTTTGTCTGATCTGTGTGTCTGTTGTTGTACCAGTACTAGGCTGTTTTAACTACCATAGCTGTATAATAGGTTTTGAGATAGCGTAATGTGAGGCCTCTTGCTTTGTTATTCTTTTTTAGTAGTGCTTTACTTAACTTGACTCTCATTCCCTTGTAAGGATCTCTGGTGGCACAGTGCCTAAGGCATGTGACTGCTAATCAGAAGGTTGGTGGTTCAAACCCAGCAGCAGGTCTGTGGAAGGAAGATGAGGCAGTCTACTTCCATAAAGATTTACTGCCTTGGAAACCCAATGGGGGTCACTATGAGTCAGAATTAACT